TCCCTGCTCACCAGAAAATACATCTTGGCGAAACAAAAGTCTGGAATCTTTTCAGTATGTGTATTTTTTCTGACATTTCCCTCCATTGTCTAAGTCTTGGAATTATCTTTAAACAGAGGAATTCTTTTGTCTTAGGAATCCCTTCAAGTGATGAACATCTGTTAAGACTTAGGCAACTTCTTAATGATTGTGCAAAGAGTTAAATCTCAATGAGGAGCCGGCTCTTGGAGTTAGAGCCACGTATATTGTTGCACACGTTTTTCTGCTCAAAAGCATAGAAGATAATGCAGTTGATGAAGAATTTTAACCTTAAGATGTATATATATGTACATATATATAACTATGTATATTTATATATAGTTAAAAATGGTAGGTTGATAAACTAGGGTCTGTAGGCTGCATGATTTTTACATTTTTTAAAGGATCGTAAAAAAAAATAGAATATGAGTCAGACACCATATGGCACATGAGGCCTAAAGTATTTACTATCTGGCCCTTTATAGAAAATGTTTGCTGACCCCAGAACTATGTGGAAAGTACCATAATAGAACTCACTTATTTTTTACTTTCATCAAGAGGTAGGCTGTCTTCTTGGGCTGAGAAGCCAGAGTATGGAATTAAGAACATGCAGATTGTGATCTGCTGAATGAGGGGCACAAGCTGCCCACACGGGGTCAGCAGGTAGCTCCCCGGCATCTGAGCTCCCACCTTGGGGAGGTGAAACCCACTGGCTTGTTGTAGTTGAAGGTGTTGTTTCAATACTCCCACACGGAAGAAATAAAGTTTCTTATTTACAGACCCCAAAACAATGATGGGGGAAGGGCGGTCCTCCATCCCAGGTCACGAGCCAGCAGGAGATGGTGAGGAGGGGATCAAGCGCCTGTTACTTAGGAGGTGGTTCAGGCGGATGTCACTGGCTTTTCTTGGGCTCAACTCTAAGTGGTCATTTTAAAAGGTGCCCTGAGAAAGGCAAAGCAAGGACTTAAGAGTGGGAGGCCTAACTCAAGCCTTATCTCAGTGTGCAGACTCGGTGTGAGCAGGGCTGTCATACTGTAAAATGCCTGGGCAGCAACTTAGAAAAACAGAAGTTGTTGTTCTCGTCACACTTCTTTCCTTGGAGGTATTAATTTCCACTGGTGAAAGCGGTCTTCACAGCCATTGCAAAAAGATGGGAACCCCCCCCAACGACTCTAGCCGAGCTGCCCCAGCCCGCCCGCGGACACAGCTGCGCCCTGTGTTCCTCGTGTGGCTGTCTGTGGCTCTCCCTCCCCGGGCTGCTCCTCAGCATTGTCACCCTCCACCACTTCACCACACACCCTCTTTGACCTTGGCCGCTTGGCCACGTGGTGGTGCCATCCCCATGGCCCTTGTGCATCTGCTTGGCTATACTGATCTCCGTTCCTGCTTTCACCCTCCAAGGCCCCTCCTCTGAGATCCCTTTTTCTGCCTTCTCCTCCAGAATCAGCCTGTTGAGGCAGATGCCATCCAAATCTGGTATTTCTACCCCTCCCCTGTACTCGCTCCTGTCCAGGCCCAGTTTTCTTGCTGGCGTCAAAGGGGGTCCAGTTATGCCCCCTGCAACCAATGGTAGCAAAGAGGGGACTTCTGGTGTCCTCCCTCACCAGACCAACGGGACCATGTGGGGAGCAGTATGGCTGCCCCATCCAGACCCTGCTCGCACACACTCTTTATTGTGCTCTCTTTCTGTCCACATCGCTCCATGCGATTTCCCTCCTGTGGACCGTCCGGCCTCTTGCCTTCGCTTACGACTACAGCAGATTTCCACGTCTGCCACTTAGACCAGGCCACTCCAATGGTCCCCGACGCCCTGGGACCGGGCACACATATCTACCAGAGCTATCACTCAAACTTCTGCCACATTCCTGTCTTCATCCCAGTCCAGCTTGCTGAATCCCTCCGACTCCTACCCTCAAGGGCCCCTCTACTCAGCACCCATTTATCAAATGCCAACTCCATTTCAGGTACAGTCGTCCCGCGGTATCTCAGGGAATTGGTTCCAGGGCCCCTGAGAATACCCCAATCTGCAAATGCTCAAGTCCCTCAAATGAAATGGTATAGTATTTTCATCTAACCTACGCACGTCCTCTTGTCCTTTAAATCATCTCTGATGACTTATAGTACCCACTACAGTGTAAATGCTGTGTAAATAGCTGTTATACTGTATTGCTTAGGGAATAACGACAAGGTAAAAAGTCTGCACACGTTCAGTACAGACACAGCCATCATAGGCCTTTCGATCTGCGGTTGGTTGAATCTGAGGATGTGGAACCCATGGAGACGGAGGGCCAACTGTACTCTGCTGGGCTCTGGGCATGACCCTCAGGGATGACCAACACACAGCCTAGCTCTCAGTGTTTCTTTGACAGAGGAAAGAAGATAGGCACAGACACGAGTACAGAGCAAAGCAAGAGCTGCTGACTGACACACTTATTCAATATTACAAGACCACAGAGGAAAATAATTAGAACTAAACTCTATTACAAACAAACTTCCAAACTGCCTGATGAGAATATTACTAACTCTGACAAATTAACCACTTACAGAAAATTTGATTCCGTTTCTAACCTTCCCTTAAATATACGGTTTAGGGACCAAACTTCCGGTAACGTTTTCTGATGATTTACTTCTTCTCTGACTCACTGTCTCCTTAACTGATACATTATCTTGCCTCCAGCCATGTCTGTAAACATGAAAGTTCTGTAAATAAATGCAGTCTTTTGATTATAGTGCAAAAGACAACATCCTGCTTTGTAAACACTCCTACTCCTTATTGGAAGCTGAATGGAGTTGTCATTCTGTTCCCCGCGTGCCTGGAATGGTGGCTTGTGACTGGCGGGTGTGCAGTTGGTCTGCGTTGACTCACAGCTTTATTTTCTGGGACTGGCTTTGAGAGGTTGCCACTCAGTTGCAAGAGATGCCGTTCAAATAACTTTGTGTCCGAGCATCTTTCCTCTTTCATTTCCCTCTCCCTTCTCATTCCTTGTACAACTCCTTTTTCTCCAAGCCCCCTTTCAAGATATTATTATATCAAATAAAACTTGGGAAAACCTAGCCAGGACATACTTATCTAGAGGGAGACGCCCCTGAGAGCACTGACCTGCTAGCAGGAACCGCAGGGAGGCGGGCGGTTCACCAGCCTGCCCCGTGTGACTCCTCCTATGTGAGCCACCCACTCGTTTATTCATTCACGACATATTTTCTGAGAACTTTGTGCCGCAGACACCATGCTAGGATCTAGGGACACAAGATTGAGCCAAAAGGAAAACTGTTCCCACCCTCACTGGGGGAAGGTGGCATCAATTACAAGTTTACATGAACAGGTGTGTGACAATAATTAATATTCTAGTTCTGATAGAGAGAGGAAGAGCTAATTTTAGTGTTTAACCCCTGACAGCCCTGTGATCTCTGGTCTGTGTGTGTGTCTGTCTTTCCCTCTCTCCCTCTTTCTTCTTTGTCACGTGCGGGTAGAGAAGATGGCCAGCAGCACTGCGTTCTGTCATTGCTCTGGTGCTGTATGCCCACATTCTTTCTTTTGAGGGTAGAATTCTTGATCTCCACAAAGTAGATGTTATTATCTCCATTTTAAATACAAATGATGGAGGAAGACAACGTTGTTATTACTCACACTGTCATCGGGAGGCTGAATAAACGAAGGCTTGCATTATGGGAGTTTGGGGGCAGAACTATGCCACAGGCCCTAATTTGAAACCATCAGATTTAGTGGCTGCTACCCCACCTCGTCAGGGACCCTGGATTTACATTTTTTACAGCAAGAGAGAAAAATTTCCCTTTTTCTGCAAAAGTCAGGACTGGATCTCAAAATGTGAAATGTGTCCTTCCCAAAGCATGCCCACCCACGTGGTTGACAAGCGATGGATTTCCCAAGATAGCTGCCACACACTCGGTTTCCAATCTCCGTATTTCTTCCTTGCCAGAATTTCTAGACCTTTCCCGAATATTCCCAAGTCACACTTTCTGGACTTTTGAGCAAGCATCTTCCGGCCTCGTCGGCTGTCCGCAAAGCCCCTAGGCCCAGGCGTGGGGACAGGGCCGGGCGGCGCGCCCAGCGCCGGGGACTCCTGCGCAGGAGGTCTGGCTCCTGCGACGCGCGAACGAACGTGCTTCCCAGCCGCGGTTCCACCCGCTGCCGGCGAGCTGAATGAGGAGCAGCGCTATTTTTACCTCCCCGGCTGCAATCCTTTAGATTTATTTGCAGGAAGGAAATAAATACAGGATGAAGACGGAAATGCTTGGCTTTGGTTTTTCCCGAGAAGGAGGAGGTTGGAATAGGAGGGGGTATGTGAGGTCCGAGGTGGTAGAAAAGGCAGGTCCATTTCTCTGCTGCTGTTTCCTCCAGATCATCCTTGTCTCTGGCCTGGAAGCTCCCACACTCCGCTCTCTCTCCCTCTGGCTAATCCCTGACTGCCAGCTTCCCCCCTCCCCCGCCCCCACCTCTGGAGGTGCCACCGTCACCTCTGATGCTGCCTGGGTTGCTGCATCACTCTGCTGATTTTTTTTGTGTGTCCCCCCCTCCACAATGAAGCATGCGCAGTGCGTCCGTGCCTGGCAACAGCACCAGCATCAGCACCAGCACCAGCACCAGCACCAGCATCAGGACCCGAAGTCGCGCTCGGGCGCGCTCTCGAGGGCGGGGCGCACGCCCGCGCTGCGCGTCCCCGCGCGCCGCCTCAGCATCCTCAGCCCCAGCAGCAGCCCCCGCAGTCGCTGGAGCGGCCGCGCCCGCAGCAGGGAGGGAGGAGCATCCGAGGAGGTTCCAAGTTGGCGGAGCGGCTGGGACCCCCGGACTCTTCGGCGGCCGCAGCCCCAGGAGGGGCTGAGTAGGCGAGCAGGGGAGGGGGCGCCGCCCAACCCCGAGCCCAGAGCCCGACACGCTACCCGCGGCGGTACCATGCGCGCCGAGCCGGCGTGACCGGCTCCGCCCGCAGCCTCCCGCAGCCCAGCCCGGCGCCCTCGCCGGCCACACCGAGCGGCGCCCAGGAGCTATGAGCCATGAAGCCACCCGGCAGCAGCTCCCGGCGGCCGCCCCTGGCGGGCTGCAGCCTTTCCCGAGCCTCCAGCGGCCCCCGCGGCGGCCCCGCCGGCCCGGCGCCTGCTCGCGCCCTGGCCCGCGCACCGCCCTGCCGCCTGCTCCTCGTCCTTGTCCTGCTGCCTCCGCTCGCCGCCTCGTCCCGGCCCCGCGCCTGGGGGGCTGCTGCGCCCAGCGGTGGGTATGGCCCCGGGGCCTTTGCCTGGCCTCGCGCGCGGGCCCCTGCAGAGGAAAGCGAAGGGCGCGCGGGTCCGTGCGCTCCGGACGCGTCCCGGGCCCGGCCTGTCCGCGCCTCCCTGCCGCCCCTCCGCCTCAGTCGTTCCCACATACCCGTTCATTCCAGGTCACTTTTTGAAGTCTGTTTCTGTTGCATTCACTAAAAACCCATTCCAGTTACTGTCGGTTCCGCTGGAAGGCGTTTAGTGGATGCGGGGTCCCTTAGCGATCCCGGGGCAACTTGGCTGTGGGGAAGCCGGTGGACGGGAAATGCGGCGAGGGAGCAGGGTGCTTCCTGGGTGGTGGAGCCTGCATAGGAACGCGAGGGGATGTGCTGATAACTGTGGTAATGTGTTGTCTCCCCAGACTGCTTCCTGGCTTCTTCACTGCTGTTGGAGTTAAGATGGGGGAGGGAAACTTCGGGGATATAAACCTTTGGTTTGTATTTTTCAAAGCGCTGGTCATTATAATGAACAGTTCCTATAATGTTCAGTACATTGATGATTGGAAATCGGTGAAGGCGGAAAGCTGGCTCGGCAGGAAAAATCAAAAGGAGTTGGAAAGCTGCCAGCATCTGTACCCCTCCATGGCAAAGCATTTTTGCTCATCTCAAAGTTAAAAGGAAAGGGAATTTGTCCATTTTGTTAGATGCATCAATTAGCATTCCGCGCCCGTGAATGGAGCGCTCCAGCTGTCTTAGGAGCGGTCTTAGCTCGAGGATGGGGTGCTCCCGGTCAGAGTCCCACTGAGCTTCTGCAGACCGGAGAAGGGGTGGAGGTGAGGGGCAGACCCGTGAGCGTCTTCGCCTAACGACTCTTCCTTCAAGTCCATTGTGCCCCACCCTCCCCGTTCTTAGAAGTGCAGATCTGAGACTAGTTAGACATGTACATATAAAACATGAATCAAAATGGACTACATTTTGATTTTTGCATGAGCCTTCTGGGCTGTTAACCTATCCAGGCTGTTTCATTATTGCAATAACTTGCTGTACCGTGTCTCTACTTCCTGCCTGCTTACAATTAGGAAACTTTGACCATTAATGGAAAAATTCATTTTCGTACTTTATGTATTTATAGGGCATATATGTGCGTCTTTGTGTATGTTTATGCCACCCCTCCACCTCCCCCCCCCCAGCTCCGCATTGGAATGAAACTGCAGAAAAAGATTTGGGAGTCCTGGCAGATGAAGAGAACACATCGCAAGAGAACAGCAGCAGACACATCAGTCCCAGCGGTGGGCTGCAGAAAGAGATCACGCTGCCGTCCAGACTCGTGTATTATGTCAACCAAGACTCGGAAAGCCCCTACCATGTTCTTGACACAAAGGCAAGACACCAGCAAAAACACAACAAGGTAGGCAGGGGCGGGGCAGGCAAAAGTGGCTGCCATGAGGTGTCTTCCTTTGATTTGATTTTCTGCCAGAATCTGATTTCACAAATTTTACTGCAGCATTTTATTAGGAAATCAATTAGTGTTATTATGGGGGGAAAACTGGAGGGAATTAACCTGGGATCTACCAGGAGAGGAATGCTGTTTGTTTCTCTTCTCTGACTCTAACCTGGAATTGGAATTTTCTTACGACCTTCTAAGTTGAGCAGCTGAAATGTGGTGCATGTATCTTTCAGGTGCATTGGACACTGAACAGTAGTTAAGTGAATAGTTTGTGGTCCTCACTTGTTTCTGTGAGGCTTTATGTAAGGGTGCAGCGGCTGGCCTCCCATGATGGAACCTGCTTCCATCTGCACACTGAAGATTGCTGGAAGAGGCTTGGCTGCAGATTCCCCATCGGTCTTTCACTTAGAAATTGTGTTTAAATTTAAATAACTTCTTTCTTTCTTTAATTTATCGATAGGAAAAAATATATTTTCAGTAGGTAAACAATTAGTTTAAAAGATTATGGTAAATATAAACCAACTATTTATACAATATTTATATAACGTAGGGAGCAGTTTTGGTCAGCATAATCTTTCAAGACTTTATCTCCATTCATTGTGAGCAGTTACTTTACTTTCTGGTTTGTTCAGAAAGTGGCACTGAGTTTTAAAAAGGCATTCAACAAGGGGCCAGCCCAGTGGTGTGGTGGTTAAGTTCACATGCTCCACTTTGGCAGCCCGTGGTTTGCGGGTTTGGATCCCGGGCATGAACCTATGCACCACTCATGAAGTCATGCTGTGGCAGTGTCCCACATACAAAATAGAGGAAGATGGGCACAGATGTTAGCTCAGGGACAGTCTTCCTCAAGGAGAAAGAGAAAGATTGACAATGGATGTTAGCTCATGGCCACTCTTCCTCACCAAAAAAAAAATAAATAAATAAATAAAAAGGCATTCAAGAGAAGATGAAGGTGCTTACTATCCAAAGAGTTTAAGGGACCTCTTTTCCTGCTTACTGTTCCTTATTTGAGTTAATAATATTTAGGACCCCAACCAGATTTACGCAATGGCTTATCAGTGCCTCTGTTCTTTATCAGGAGCAGAAAACAGAGTCTGTATGTCAGATATTTTACTTTGGACTGTAAGCTGTTCAGTTGAGAAGAGCAGTAAATATCTAAACATCCAGGATTTAGGAAAAGTATTCTTACCACAAAAAGGGCACACTCTTCTCACCACGAGACAAAAGCCAATCTTTAAGATGGTGGCAGAGAAAAGGCATTTTATTAAACCATAAGCTAACAAATTGGAAGATGGCTGACTGATGTCTGAAAGAACCATCTTAAGGGGGCACAGAATCTTGAAGCAGTTCTATAGGCCAGTGGGTTATAGGGGAGGGGGTGGGAATGTTGACCCTCTGGTGTCACAGACTGGAAGTGGCCACACCAGATCTTCAGTTGTCACTGATGTTGGCTGTCAGCACAGACTCTCTGTTTGGGGATCATCACATTCCTAAGGAACTCAAAAGAACGAAGTTATCGTCTTATTGTACCTGGGAGGTACATGCACAAGCAGGGGCCATAAAACCTACAGAGCAGGTGGATCTCCTGGAGGATGCGTATCCAGCTGGGTTAGTTAGTCAGAGGTCATTCAAAGTTACAACATGGTCTCTTTTCTACAATGTGGCTTCCCTTATGTCAACCTTGTGTTGAGCCTGTATCGGTATCTGTGGTTTAACATCATTGTTTTTATTAATTTTCTAAAATATAGGTAAGTGGTAACAGTATTTATCCCCATTTTACAAATGGAGAGTTAGAAATTGAAGGCTTTTTGGTGATTTCCCCAAGATTATAAAACAGCTAGTATAAAATTCAAGAGGCCTGAATATTTAATTTTTGCTATTTTTTACAAGTTGGTTTCTGAGAAAATGCTCCCTCCACATTGACTGATATTGGAGACCGTAACTTTGTTGCGCTGTATTGTGACGTGGCTGCCCCACCCTGGCTGCGATGCTCGGGTCTCTCTGCTCCCTCCTCCCATCTGCCCCAGCGTAACTTAGTGGTTGATCCTGGATCCTGTCTACCCATTTGTCTTGTCCATAGGAGGAGGGGGTGGTGTCTTTGAGGAGCAAGAACCCAAAGCCCTCTTGATAAAGGCACTGAGACCTGCTTTATGGCTTTCCTAGTTCAAGAAGCCTTCTGTGGTTAAGTGGCAAGTTCTCAAACCCCAGTGCCTTTGCACAGTGTTGGAGGAAGAAAAAAAAGTCTGTCTCAAAGCCTATTTCAAAGAATCCTCAAACTCTCTTGAGCTGAGCCTTGGAAGAAATGTCAGCGGAACTTTTCTCCAACTCAGGAGTCAGAGGCTGCGACTGAGGCTGTCTTCTGGTCGAGACTTATGTGTTGGTTCTGTTTGGGGGTATGTGGTTTGACTATGATAGAGCGGCATTTCTGTGATAATAAGTTTTGTTAAAACGTCACCCACCACTCATGTAGAAGAACCGATTTCTCACGAGGGGACACACACTCATTGTTGGAGTGATTCTGCCACTCCACTCCCCCCCGTCCCCCACCCACCCTCCTCCCCCATGGCCGAGTTTCTTTTATCTCCAAAAAAAATGTTTGCACAGAAATTACATTTGAAAGCATTTTTCTTATTTTCTTATTAGTTTAATTCAACAAACATTTGTTGCACATTTCTCATGGGCAAAGTAGTATGCTAAAGATTCAGAGATAAGAGATAAGAGTACAAGGATGAGTGAGACATGGTCTGACCTTCAGGAGACACAAAAAGGAGATAAGCAAGATTCTAAAACGTGCTCCTTACACGTGTAGACAGTGCTCTTCTTATACGGTGGGTTCCCTGAAATTTCCCTCTGTGTTGCACCGTTTCCCTCTTACTTCTGATGTTAAGCATCTCCTGAACTAGTTGACAAAGCGTTCCATATATTTTCTGCTGTATCTGAGGGTGACTTGCCTAATGACAGTGATGAAAAGTCCTTGTCAGTTCAGCTGCTTTACAAATGTTCCAGGAGGAGGCAAAGTATAGGATTTCATCATTTTTGCTTTTGTAAAAGAAGTATTGATTTTAATATCTGTATTATGTACCTTTTTCCCTCCCCTGACTTCATTGTGCTCCAGCACATTTTAATGAATGCCTAGAAGTGCTGAGTCACTGTGCCTTCTCATAGATCCCTGGATCGGGGGCAGAGGTGGAGAGGGAAGTCCTCAGATATAGGCTGCCAGGCAGAGCCGCATATTTATTCAGTGTCGATAGGGCCTTGTTACTTTACAGCTTTGAAAGTTAAAATGTTCATTAACTTTCGAAATTGGTGAGTTTCGAAAGCAGATTGTGCAAAGTGCCTCTGTAATACTAGTGTTTCTGAAAACCTTAAAGTTTTCTTTGTCAAAGATTGTGTAGGAATTCTTATCTTCAGATAGGGTGATGTATAACTTTTTGTCCAAACTGCACTGTTTTAGAGTGAAAAGTGGGCACACTTAACAATTATGCCAGAATAGTAGGCGTCAACCAAGATGGTCGAGTGCAGAATATGGTCCCTTCAGATCTAAACAGTTGTGGTCCTTGAATTTTGGTGCTTACCTGAATTCAGGTTTCTTTATAGATAGTTTTATTTTCTGATGATTTATTGTAAGTTTTTTCTTACTAGCTGGCAAGTCAATTTACCACCATGTAGAAGTATTAAGGTCAGAATTGGAAAAATTTAGTTTTGCTTTGTTACAAAAACTTACCTTAATTTGTAGAGACTTTTACAAACATAAATGGAATTTTATGATCACTAAACATAAGCATTTTATTAACCATTAATGTAATATATTAATAAAATGGACCATACATTTAAAAATAGGGAGAAACAATTTAGATTAATTAACTAATTCCTTCGTTCTGAGATAATCCTATGAGGTCTGTTCCTAAGAAAGTTAATGAACCTGTACTGTAGGGGAGGAAAAGCAGTTTTCCTTCTACCCTCTGGGTTCTTGGCTGAGACACACCCTGTAATAAAAGACAGATGGACAGGAGAAAAACACAGAAGTTTAATCCCTCCTGTCTAATTGGGAGCTACCCAGGAAACAGATAACTCTCCAAAGTGGCCCAAGCCATCACCTTAAATACTGTCTCCATCGGAAGACGAAAGAAGATGTTGGGGGCGGGGAGCCAGTTATGGGAGGTGAGCAGGGAAAGCACAGTAAACAAAGTAAGTGGTTATGCAGACCTAAGCCTGTGCCTTCCCCACTGATAAGAGCTCCTAGAGATTCAGAGTCATCCTTCTCTTGCTGGTAGTGAAAGGGGGACCTCTTACGAATGGAGATTTCCCTTATAAATGCAAATGTATCGTACAAAAGGGTAACTGGTGCTCAGTTTTCAGGGGTTCTCCTCTGTCTCCTGTTTCTTAAAAATAACCAGCCTAAAATAACCCTATGCCAAAGAGGCATATTTTGGGATGGTATATTCTGTTCCCCTTCAAATCTTTTCCTGAAATTTCCTTTAGTCAAAAATTGCTTGCCCTGTATCCTACTGCCTTAGGGTTCTTTTCTCTTCCAGTTGGAAAGGGATGGAAGAGGTACACTGTGCAGAGCGCAGGGTTTGGGGGAGGATGAAAGTCATCTCCTTTGACTTCAGTTGGCCCGGCGTGCATACAGCTCATTCCACCACCCCGAGGTCAGAGAGAGAGAAGAGAGGTGTTTAACTGAATTTAGATCACAACGATTGTTATTACTTCTTACTGTACTTCAGGACAAGGCTGCTTCTACATTTCTTGACTGTCCAGAAACCAACTCGTCCATTGTTCTTGGTGTGGGGCAGCAGAAAGAGACATAGGGTCCTTTCTCAGAATTGGTCTGGTGGTTATAGGATAATACAACCATTGTTTTGGCCTCTGCAGCCTTCGAAAGCCTTCCAGGTCTTCTCGCGCAGTCATTGCAAAGTGTAGTGTGTAGAATTCAGGCTTGTAATGCCTGGCAGATAGTA